ATTATAAACATCACTCCAATTGCTCCAATCGACAGCTGGTCAAGAGGAATCCGCCATCGTCTTCTGGTGGAACCGACCTTTGAATCTCTTCCCCCAACACTTTTACTCGAAATAGAAGTAAGCTCAACAAAAATGCAACAAGAGATTCCTCGAAACCCAACTTTTCTTCGCATAATGCTGCCAAGTTTTACAATAATTGCGATATAAATTATGACAAAAATTCTCATTTTTGTTCCTAACTAGGTAATACCTACAACTTCGGACCTCGTAAAGGCCGTAGAAGCTGAGGGTCGCTGTGAATATCGGCTTCCTCAAGTTGAGGCCAAAAAACCAGTGCGTCGCAAGCGCGGCCACACATTCCTTGGTGAGAAGACCAGCATCTTTGGAGCCCTGATAAAGGGTGAGGAGAATGCGTATATAACAGCACTCCTGTCGTTCGGCCTGCTTGTTTTGGTTTCTCTCTTGACCGTCGGTACTATATTTGCCTTCTGTGTAAAGCATCGAGATAAAGCGGCTATTTGCAGCATCCGTAGAAAGTCGAAACGTTCATTTCCAACGGTTACGGCAACAGGCGACAGAAGTACTGGTAGTGGTACCACCGGAAGTGGGTTGAATCTCATAGATCATGAGAGTTCCTTAATGTTGACTGACAACCAACGGCCAGGCGATAGTCACTCGATCTTAGCGGCCACCAGGAACAGTGAAATCGGATTGAAGGCGGCCACCGCAGCCTCGTTCGTGGCCGGTCAACTCAAAGCTCGAGAGAAACTGGCCAGTGTAGGGCGGCCCTGGAGTCATGTTGCCGCTGAACCAAAACAGCAACAAGCCCTGCAACAACTAGCCTCTCCACAGCAGCAGCTGCAGTTACATCAGCAACAGCAGCAGCAGCTGCAGTTACATCAGCAACAGCAGCAGCAGCAGTTGCAGTTGCAGTTGCAGCAGCAGCAGCATCCATTACAGTTGCAGCAGGCCATGATGCTGCAACATGGAATGAGCCCATGCGGCCAATTCGGCCCTGGCCAACTAGGACCTTACCAACAACAGCAGCAGCAGCTGGCTGGCATGGGCATGCAGCCTGTGACGCAAATGAATTCGAACTTAAATCCCTGGATGATGATGATGATGATGAACAATAATGCCGGAGGTAATGTCGCCATGCCCGGCGGACAAGCCGGCTTGATGCAACCAGGAGTGCCACCTGGAATGATGCTCAATTATGGTATGCCGGGCGGAATGATGCCAAGCGGAGGCCAAGGCGTCAACAACAATAACAACATGATGATGATGATGAATATGCTACCAATGACAATGCAGCAGGGATTAAACCTACAGCAGATGGGCCTAAACAATAATAACACAGGCATGAATTCACAGCTGCAGCAGCAACAGCAGGCGGCCATGATGTTTAATCTATATCCAGGTGCTTCGCTTCCGATGAACAAGCAATCTGGAAACTTGATGTACCCTATGGGCATGAACAACTCATTTCAATACTAAACCAGCCCTCGTCATTCCGAAGATCTTCATAGGGCGCTCCCAATTTCATTTTAATAAAGTAATAGAGGATCGTTTAATTACCTTCCTACATATATATTTCGATATAATCCACATTTAACAACGCTAACTGCACACTTCACACATGATTTATATCGAATTAGATCTACATTAAACTACAATATTTTCTTACATTTGGCCAATACTACTCCTTAGACGTACTCTTCTTTCAATATTATTGCACTGATGTTCCCTATACCTGCCTCATTTGACACAACTTACGATAGGAACTATGAGGCTCCTTCATTTTCGTGGCGCGCAAGCCTATAAAAGCTGATTGCCCAGATGGCTCACTTTGCTGACAATTAAACTAAACTTAAGATATTTTGCTCTAAAAAAGTTAATTAAGGCTCATCCCTTCTTCCCAAAATGTTTATACCTGTATTTTCTGATAGATTGATGCATATTTAATTAGATAACATTCTGAACATCATCTTTGTGACGTGACAAATTTCTTGTATGTTGTAAATATGAAAGTGAATAAGACTCTGTATTTTATTTCCGACAAAGAATGACCACGAGAAACACGCGACAGAGGAGTTATAATGGAAATAAATGATCCATGAAAAGAGTAGCTATTAATTTATTACATATTTATAGTCTTACCATCCAAATGGTTTTCTCATTCAGAATAACTCAAGTTTTCTTTCAAAAGTCTTTGATATTATAAAACACTACTATAATTAAAAATAAGTACCATCATTAATTATTATACAAATTTGCCATCGCGACAATTCTGCGATTTTGGAGAGATCTAGCTTGCCTTGGGGTCTCATTTATCCTGCTACTTACTGGCATACGTGGCTGTATGGCAAAGTGAAAGAGTGTCGCCTCAACCAGATTCCACAATCACATTTTGTGACTAGGATGGGATGATGAGACGTGGGAGAGGGCTAATCGTCAGTCTAGCAGCCACAATCATGCCTTTCCTAAGTTGGCTGAACGTTAATGACCCTAAACTGAGAGGTTAGGGCAGGTGCTTATTCATTTTGCTTTAGTTATCAGTATGTATAAGAGATAAGATAAAGCCGACTAGTCTTATAACCAAGTGTTAATGTAAAACTTTTACAATAATAAGTTCCAGCTCTGTTGAGGTCCATCATATGATGGTTGAAAGCTCAGCTTGTTTTCACCGAAAGCAAGGGAGAATGTCTCGTGAA